CTCTCCCTTAGATGGTGTTTGAGAATGAATAGAGGCAAGCTTAGGAACCCAAATTCTTCACGTTTCTGTCAGGTTTTTAGGCCATTACTAATAACCATATATATATAATAGCTTAATCGGTTGATTTAAGTATGGAGTTAAATGAGTCATCAATAGGTTATATGATAAGGTTATAACTTACGCACCTAATCAAATTAAATGGCCAATTTAATTTGCTAAATGAAACATAACTTACAGTAATCACTATAATGAAAATATATAGTGGCTTACCTTGATCTCTCCACAAACATTAAAAATATCAAGCTTTGGAAGGAAGTCCAATAATGAAAATAAAATATTTTGTCTCTACAAAGGGGAAATTCACTTTGATATAATTAAGTATTATTGTAACTCCTCTTTTTTAATAAACTGAGGATAGAGAGATTCGAACTCACGATCTTGGTCGGACCAAACGGTTTTAAGTGTTTTGCTCTTAAAGAAATTTATAAACCTATGAAGACCAAATTTAGGTCCTATTTTGAAAGTTTATGATAGAAATAGAATATAATATTACAAATATCATACGATAGAAATATGTTGAGAAGTAAAAGAATATTTTGAAACTTTATAAAGCAAATATAAACGAACAATCTTATAACGTTCTTTTTCAAAACGAATATAGTATTACAAACATCACATTTCAGCACACAGACATATATTATCCGATGGGAGATTCAATTTTCTACCATCGAGACGTCGACATTTCTATCCCATGTTTTCATGGGTTTTGTTTGGGGGTAAAAATACCTTAGACATGTGGAAAACACTTACTGGTGTTCAAGGATTAAATATCCTAGGTCCACCTCGGCCCTACCGAAGAGGTCGGGTTCACCCATCAGGAATAGGTTAAGTATACATGCCGAAGTCCGATCTGTTTGGGGTTCGATCTACTCGGAACCCGACAGGTCCGACATGAAGAAAAACATGTAACCGTCGGTCGTGTGTACTGTCGGATCCCCCACCTATAAATATAGGGCCTCATTTCATGCTCAGGTATCGAATCTCACCTCGAACTAAATACAGAGTCCGACATATACTGACTTGAGCGTTGGAGTGTTTACCCTCTTGTGCAGGTCCACTCTTGTGTTCAGGTCGAGCCGGAGATCGGGTTCGAGCTTGGTTCGTGAATTATCGTTGTGCAGACCCTTGCATAAACATTTGGCGCCGTCTGTGGGGAAGGAAGATCTAAGTCATCCCGATTTAAAAG